TCAGTTGGTAAGGTAGCTATCTTCCAAATTTCTTTGAATAAGTGAGTAAGCACTTCCAGAGTTGCATCTGTTTGTTGAAACATCTCAATTGGTATTCCATCAATTTCTGGAACTTTTTTTTTCGCCAGTGCTTTCAGTGCAGCTTGGACTTTTTCCTTCAGGATCATCAGTACTTGATCATGTGCTACCTCATGAAAAGGTTGAATGATGACCAATTCTTTTTGGTACAGTGACTCTGAATATTCCTTCTATGTTCTTTTGATGTTTCCTGCATCATTAAATTTTCTTTTCCCTTGTTGTTGTTGTTGTTAGGTGCTATCAAGTTAGTTCTGACTCGTAGCCACCCTGTGTACAACACAACGAAACACCACTCAGTCCTGTGCCATCCTTACAATCATTGTTATGCTTGAGCCTATTGTTGCTCTATTTGCCCTTAGTATCTTGCAATGTTACAACTTGAGGCTTGAATTTTTTCTTCAGTTCTTCCAGCTTGAGAAATGCAGAGCATGTTCTTCCCTTTTTGTTTTCTAACTCCAGGTCTTTGCACATTTCATAACAATACTTTACTTTGTCTTCTCAAACTACCCTTTGAAATCTGTTCTGCTCTTTTATTTCATCCTTTCTTCCCTTCTCTTTGGCTACTCTATGTTCAAGAACAAGTTGCAAAGTCTCTTTTGACATCCATTTTGGTCTTTTCTTTCTTCCATGTATTTTTAATTACCTGTTGCTTTTTTCATGTGTGATATCCTTGATGTCATTCCACAACTCATCTGGTCTTCAGTCATTAGTGTTCAGTGTGTCAAATCTATTCTTGAAATAGTTTCTAAATTCAGGTGAGATATACTCAGCGTTGTACTTTGGATCTTGTGGACCTTCTCTGATTTTTTTCAGCTTTAACTTGAAATTTCATATGAGCAATTGATGGTCTGTTTCACAGTAGGCCTCTGGCCTTGTTCTGACTGATGATATTGAGCTTCTCCATCATGTTTTTTAACAGATGCAGTCAATTTGATTCCTGTGTATTTCTTCTAGTGAGAGTCACGTGTATAGTCATTATTTATGTTGTTTAAAAATGTATGTCCAGTGAATAATTCACTGGTCTTGCAGAATTCTTTCATGTGATCTCTGAGTCATTTCTAACACTAAGATCATATCTTCCAACTATTGATCCTTCTTCTTCATTTCCAGTTTTAGTATTTCAGTCTCTAGTAATTATCAATACATTTTGATTGTGTATTTTGTTAATTTTAGACTGCATAAGTTAGTAAAAATCTTCGATTTGTTCATCTTTGCTATTACTGATTTGTGTGTCAATTTGAATAATAGTCTCATTAACTGGTCTCCCTTATAGGAATAGGAATATTATTCTATAATGACAGTGTTGTTTTTCAGTATTGATCTTGAAATATTCTTTTTGATGATGAAATTGACACCATTCCTCTTCAATTTGTCATTCCCGGCATAGTAGACCATATGATTGTTTGATTCAAAATGACCAATATCAGTTCATTTCTGCTCACTAATGCCTATGATATAAATCTTCAATCATTCTATTTCATTTTTGACTACTTTCAATTTTCCTTGATTCATACTTCTCACATTCCGGGTTCTGATTATTAATGGATGTTTGCTGCTGTTTCTTCTCATTTTGAGTCATGCCACATCAACAACAGAAATTCCTGAAAGCTATACTCCATCCACACCCTTAAGGTCAACGCTACTTTGAGCAGACAGCTCTTTCCTGGTCATATTTTGAGTGCTTTCCATCCTGAGGGGCTCATTTGCCAGCACTTTGTCAGACAATGTTCCACTGCTATCCATAAGGTTTCACTGGCTAATTTTTTTTTTTTTTTTTTGGAAGTAGGTCATTAGGCCATTTTTCTAGTCTGTGTTCTTCTGGAAGCTCTGTTAAAACCTGTCTACCATGGGTGACCCTGCTCGTATTTGAAATACAGGTGGCATAGCTTCCGGTATCACAAGAACATAAAAGCCACCACTATACAACAAACTATCAAACAAGTGGTGGTCAGCCTGCATAGCCCTAGTCATTGCAACTATGCCTCTTAACCCATTGAATCAAGTTGCTTTACCACTGGTTACTCTGTCTTGTCTTTATGACTTTCCTACAATGGAGTGGAGTAGTTTTCCTTGGGAACAACTGTGCTGGTAGTAAAAGGATATACTTGCTAAAAGTCACACAAGTGTTGGGATTTATTCAATCCTTGACCACTCCTCTAAATTTTGCTCAGCAAGGTGTCTGGAATTTCTACTATTTATAAACCTGAGCCTGTCCTTGAATTGTTCTTGATATTTTAGTCTGTAAATCCAATTCTTGCTAGGTACTTCTTCTTAGAAGTCCCACTTGGGCCTCAAAGTCAACATATCCAAAATGAATCTCATTTTTCTTTTTCCTTTACAAACCTCCCTTTCATCTGGCTTTTAATCACCATGCTGCCTCCTCAGCTGTTTTGTTCACATCCAAATAATCACCAACTTTTGAAGGTTTTCCACTGCAAATATTTCTTGTATCTGTGTCTTCTTCTCTTCTTCTTGTCTATACTATCCCTGTCCAAATTCAATTGCTCAACATCTCTTGGCAGAGTTCTGGATTACATGATATATTTATAGTCTTGGTCACTTCAAATGCATCCATTATATGCATTAAGAGTGATCTTCCTTTAATCCATATGCTAATAACACACTTCAATGGTGTTCATCACTTAAGAGTATCAAGTCCTAACTCCTTAATATAATGTATAAGAGCCTTCTTGACCTGAATTATTTATTGCTTTTGTTTTCACTGTGCCCATCAGATATTTTTCTATAGTAATTCCCGGCAACTTATAGTTTTCCATGCTTACTTCCAGAGGTGTTTTACAGCTGCCTGAAATACTTCTCTTCTCCTCCTCTTCTTTCATATCCCGCCCTTCTCCTATATAACTCCTATATAGACTTCACATGTCACCCCAATATCATATGCAGGAAGGCTTACCTGAACCATTAGGTTTTGCCTAGGTATCTCTTTCCTGTGCTCCTACAGGGTCTTCTCCAACCCTCTTTCAGACATTGAAATCTTGTGTTTATATAGGTTTCTCCACTGAATTCTTCAGTGGCAGACATCATATTTTAATTATGTTATATGCCTCAGTCCTAGTACAATGTCTAGTGGATAGTGTGTACTGAACAAATATTTAGTGAATTGAACTGTTGAACAAAATCAGTCTCCATCAGCAATTATACCAGAAATACTATAGTCAATGAGGAGATTCAGTAGCCATTTCCCCCTTAAACTGGACACTAGCCTAGTAAACAAAGGTGCTAGAGGATGTATGAGAGGATGAGTTCTTACTCAGAAAATGAGAATAAGCAATAGGGAGAATTAAGCTTATTATCTTTGTGCTCCCTGATATATAAACGTGCCTTAACTTAGTTTTTAATTTTTGAGAGCATTTGTATGAGACAGGACACTACATTAGAATTGTAGGCCTCAATGCATTGTCATCCCTCAAATCATCAGCAGACATATTATCAAAAGGCAGCTTAACAGCACACTACATATTCTGATGCTATAACACTCAGCAACTCTGGTTCAGGAATCTGTTACCATCAAATATTGACAAAGTTAAAAATCACATATCTCATCTCTAAAGGCAAACTAGTTTTGATCTAGCAGAAAAATGGCATGAAAACTGTTTCAGTTTAAAATAACTAGCTTGTTTAAATAATAATGTGCTAACTTGAGGTATATGCCTTTACTGAATGTTCGTAATGAACAAGTTGATCACTTGGTTTGACCTGGGGATTTAGATGGACTGGCTGCAGTGATGTCATTACCTTTTAGCCACTGTTTGTAATGCTCTTTCTTTGCCTCTCATGCCAGACTAGTGGTGATAACTAAATTGAGCATTATGCCTTTTGATTCGTAAAGACTTTTCACATAAAATGTTTTATTTAACATTGATAAGACTCTATGATGATTATTATATAGAGAGCATTGACTCTCCGGTTCCAATGTCAGCTTTAAAACTTTCTAGCTATGTGAACATAGGCAAATTACTTTATGTCTCTACCCCTCAGGGTCCTCATCTGTAAAATGGGGGAAATTAGTAATACTCATTTTTAGGGCTTTCCTGGAGATATAATAATAAACATTTAGAACAATATTTGGCACATAATATGCTTTCAAAATGATAGTTATTATTATTGAATATATATTTTTGAAAAAAAATTTTGAGTATCTTATTTAATCTGCCTACTGATACTTGAAGATTTATATAAATGCAAATTCTCTTTTGTTTTTCATTTCCTTGGATTCTTTAGTCCAGCTGCTTCATATAAAGAAGGCAGCATCCATTGTTATCAAATAAGTCAGCTAATAAAGAAGATAAAGAGACATTATTAACCTAGGTCATTTTTTTTTTAGAATGATGTCCTCATATATCATGTAATAAGACAACAGTACAACAATGGCCCTTATATATGTGTTTAAGGGGAGATAGTTCTGTACAATTCCAGATAGTCAATTAAAAAATGTCTTAGTTTCTATAATGTGATTTTTTAATCTGTAGAAATACATAGGTTCCTCTTCTGTCCTGGCCTAAGCTTCTTTGTAGCTGCTTCCAGATGCCTCACACCCTGACTCCTACCAGTTCTTCCCATAGCCTCCTTTAAGGAATCATTTACTGCTTGAAAAAGTTTTAATATTCAGCAGGTTATGGAAACCCATGGTCAACTTTAGAATTTTAGTCTCTGCTGAGCTTTCAAGGTGTCAAGACCCTAAAATAATATGAACAGCAGGCGTATTAAATCTTTCATTATTTCCAGTTTCCCCTTGAGCATACTGACTTTGCAATAAAGAAGCTGTCATTTACACTCTTCTTTATTGAAAAGTGGGTAATAGCTACAGGGAGAAAAATAAGGAACCGTGTCAAGTGAGCCCGACTGCCGTTATGATTAATGTGTAATCATTGCACATTTGCATCTACTCTTTCCATTTACAGGTACTTCATAGATTGGAAGAGTGATGGGGACAGCTACTTTACAATAGATGGAAATGAAGGCACCATCGCCACTAATGAATTACTAGACCGAGAAAGCACCTCGCAGTATAATTTCTCCATAATTGCGAGTAAAGTTAGTAAGTATGGCATGGATGGAATCAATGTTATACTGCAGTTCTTTGGATTTAACACTCTTAAATGAGTCCCTGCTGAGGTGCTTTTCATTTCTGGACTGACAGCTGAGTGGCCTGCTGGGGAAACTCAGAAACCTGTTCCTTTTCCTCACAGCATAAGTCCAGAGAAATTCTGACAGCTGCCACTGAACCCTGTTTGCAGGATTGCATGAATATCTAGAAGTGCATTTCATTTGTGACCTCATTTCTTTCCACGCTATACCCTCAAAAATCCACCAGAGTCAAAATTCTCTCCCCCGCAGGATCCCCACAGTATCATTGGGAGCTTCATAAGCCAGGCAAGAGGAAATAATTATCATGTAAAATCACCCATTCTGAAATGTTATGTAAAATTGAAAAGAACTTTTTTTTTTTTTAAATCAACCCTCTTCACTCTCTCTCTTTCATTAGAATGTATTTTTTTTTTAATAATATTTTATTGAGTCTTTGGTGAAAGTTTCCACAGCAAATTATGTTCCCATCTGGCAATTTCTGCACATATTGTTCAGTGACCTTAGTTACATTTTTCACATTGAGTCAACATTCTCTTTAATTATTTTCTGGTTATTCCGTTCCCTGTACTCTAGTTTCCCTGTCCCCCTTATTTTCTCATCTTTCCTTTAGAGTGAGCATTAACCCTTTGGTCTCATATAGATGGCTTTTTACTGCAGCATCTTACTCACTGGTAATATTGTTTATTTTGTGTGCCGGTGTGTTGTTTCTCTAAAAGGTGACCTTGGGGATAGTTTCGGTTCACAGTTTAAAGAGTATCTCAGGGCAATAGTCTCAGGGAGTTCTCCAGTCTAAACTGGTCCAATAAGTCTGGACTTTTTTAAGAATTTGCGTTCTGTTCTGTGTTTTTCTCCTGTTCTATCAGGGTCCATCTTTTGTGGGCCTGATCATATATTTTTTAAATGAATATCATTGTGGAATAAAGAGGAGTTTCAAGTGCCTCCTCCAAGGCTTTGCTCAGATTCGATAGGATTGTTCGGAATTATTCCTTGTGTTGACTTCTGCTTGGTCCAGAAGAGAATCCTCTAGACATAGTCCTTATTTGTTGCTGGAGAACCAAGCATAATATCATAACTTTCTAAAATAATGCATGAGGGTGTAGGTTAGGACATTTGCCTATGGACATAATTTGTGCATAGAAGTGCATCTTACTAGTCCTTGTGCTTATGATCTTTTCAAAAGTTTAAGGAAATATCTTCTGAGTATTTTATTTAGTATCATTGTTATTTTCTTTTGTGAATCTGGTACAAATTTTTGACCTTTTGACAGTTAATTTTACCTTTCAATGCAGCGAACAGCTAACTGAACATTTCTGTTGAGAGTTTTTTGAGTAGTCTCAACTCAGTGGGGTGTAAATATGAAAGTTTTGTTTATCTTCAACAACTGCTTCGAAAGATGAATAGTCAGACACCTTTTTTCCAGTCCTCAGTGACACCTTAAACTGGTTTCATAACTTTGAGTTCATTCTAGCACAAAGGACCATGCAGCTTCCACCTTGTTTACTGGAACACTTACCCTTAGAGAGCTCTGACCTGTCATGTAAGAAGCCTGACTACCCAAGGCTGCCATGTGGAAGGCCACATGTAGGTACTCTGGTTACCAGTCCCCTGAGCACAGCCTTACAACCACACCGGCCTGTGCACCAGATACGTGAATGAAACTATCTTGGAACCTCTAGTCCAGTCCATTTACTGCATACCACAAAGTAATCTTCGTCAATGCCATTTGAATTGGAAGATTCATGCAGCCAAGTCTTGCCTGGATTCTTATTCACAGAATCACGAGCTATACCAAAATAGTAATTACTTTAAGCTACTACTTGCTGTTGTCATTTGTTCCATGGCAATAGACGTCCAGAGAATGAAACAACAGCATAAACTGGAACTTTGCTTGGCAAAGGGACTGGAGGAAATGGTGAATGAGATTATGTCCTTGTCGCTGAGATATATCTGCCCCACTACATACATACACACAAACACACATACTTTTCAAGGATTAGATCCTCCGGTATGTTGAAGTGGAAAGGAGGAAAAGAAAATAAAAATGCATAAATCTGTCTTATCTTCCCACATATAATGCTCCATTGATGACCACTGTTTCTAGGACTAAAAGGGACTGGCAGGAAGGGCAGGTGCCCAAATGCTAACTCTCTTCTTCTGTGAATGTGTGAGTTGTATGATCTTGGGGGTTTTGGCACATCATCTGCATAGGAACTTGATGGGCGTACCCAGTGATACACTTCACAGTTTCTTAATTCCAGGGCCCTTTGCTCACAAGGAAGCCTGCTTGGATGAGTGACTAACAATTTTTTTCAAATGCTGCTCTTTTCTGCTATGTCCACTTCGCCCTGGGGACAGTCACATATCCTTGCCATGCTAAACAGATGCACTGATGACTGATGTCTCTGCAGTATCATCTCCTTCCAATTTTTCCCTGTTTGCTCAGTTCTAATCAGGGAGAATATCATCAAATTGGCTGCCTGATCCTACGCATTATTTTGAGAACACAATGCCAGTCTCCCTTACCTGGAGGAATCCCCCCATTAAGTTTAAGCTGTTTTACTAAAGTCTCCATTTATGGTTAGTTTATTGGGGGAAAATGCATCTTTCTTCCCACTCATTCCACATTCTATTACAGATACATATGTTATCTATCATTCTTTTTATGCTAATTTTCATATATTCCATTCAGTCAGAATTGTTGGTACAGCTTAACTATGTTGGCATTGGAAAATAAACTTTAATTTTCTAAGATCTTTGATAAGAATAGTGAAAATGAGTTGTCAAAGTTATGGGGTATAAGACCTCAGTGAATCATGTTATATTGACTCCAATGGCTTGGATATAATCATTGACAACTAACCATAGATAATGTCTCAAAATAACTTCTGTTTTTCATAAACTTATGGTCTATAATAAAATAATATTCAGTAGAAAGTTATCTAATGGAATCTAAACCTTCCTATGAATGCACATACAAAACAGGTGTATATTTCTTTGAAGTAGGTTTAGACCCAAGTACCTTAACTCAAGATGAGTGTCTGCAGATAGTCCTGTAGTAGTCTGCATTGTAGTTATGATCTCTTTTTCCCAGTGGGCTGCCATGGTCCCTGTCAAACAAACAAACAAACAACAAATCTAGACTTAGATAAGGAGAGACTTGATTCAGATGAAAGAATATTGCAATAAAGAGAATGCCCTGATAGTCGAAATCCGCAAGTGTATTAAACCCAAATAGAAAAAGACTTTTCTTTTATACAGAGTGTAAGTAGAAGCAGGAGCCCTGGTGGCACAGTGTTTAAGAGCTCAGCTGCTAACCAAAATGTTGGCAGTTCAAATCCGTCAGCTGCTTCTTGGAATCCTATGGGGTAGTTCTACTCTGTCCTATAGGGTCCCTATGAGTCAAAACTCATTCGCCGACAACGGGTTTTAAGCAGAAGCAAGGGGGAGGTGGAGAAAGGAGGAGAAATGAGCAGTGGGCTCTGACAGAAAATGTGTCTTGCTATATTCAGCCAATTCTCAGGGTTAGCTGATAAGGGGACATATTCCCTTTTGAGTGCTTGCTTAGGCTTGGGGGCAAGTAGAGTTCAGTAGCCTGTAAGGCGGAGAGAAACCTGACTAAAGTGTGGTCAAGACAAAGCAGAAGGTAAGAAAGGAACGATTAGGAACATTTCATCACCATTGAAACCATTACCAAGGTATGAGTACACTCATAAGATCAAAGCCTCCAACCACAGGCTTAAGCTTCAATCATTTGGGAGATGGAAGGCAGTACGCACTTTTACAGAAGGAGCAAGTGTCATTGAGCCTTGAAAGTTTACGATTTTTTAACTTAGGGGACCCTGATGTGTTAGTTATCAATATAACTGGTGCATGTGCTGACTCTGCCACTACAACCCATTGGCTGTACTTTTTATATAAATGCAAATTTGGTAACCCTAGTGTATAAATTCTAATGAGTTATGTTGGCCCTACCAGAGATACAGGCACAACTGTAACTGAAGCACGTAATCTATATCCAGGAACAATCTAAGAATGATACCAAACTAATATTCCTAAAAATTCTACCCCTGTATCCTGCTAGGATCAATCCAAAGACGACTGTGTGGACTTTAGAGACCTCAAGGGAGTCTGGTTGGACAAACACTATTTATCAGTATGATTTTCATCTTGTGAAAAAATAAAGAGCCTAAACAGATAACACATGGTAATTAAAAACTATGCAATAAGAATAGTTTTTGTGGACTTTTATTTTGTTTGAATGCAGAGAGTTTAAAAGTAAACCTTACTCAATTCCAATGCCTAAGATTATCTTCATTGATCAAAGTAGCCAGCTGAGCAGAGAACTATCATCATAGTGAATGAATGTGAAATAAATAACTCACACTTGCCCTGCCAAGAAGAACAAAACTGTGTAAGTATACCTTATTGCAGATTGAACTAGCATATGTTTTGGCCCTGACCTTTCTATAAAAACTCTCAGGCGAAATGAGATGGTACAATGATTGAACAACTTCCAATTAATTAAAAAGCAGTCATTAATCAGTGTTGCTATAGTTGAAGGTCCAAATAATTTTATTAGACTCTTAATAATTCTTTTACGCATTACTGCTTAGCCGCTTTTATGATATTAACCTTGAGAATATTAAAAGAGACAGACACTCCAAAAATTTACTTCATTCAAATTATCAGAAACTTTCAACAGGTAAATGTTACAAATGTTCCAATCTGTTTGGTTTTTTTTTTTTTTTTTGGTGTCACTATAATAAATGCTGTTAGTTAAAGATAACAAAAAATAACAAATAACTACATTAAATCCCTAGAACATATTTTAGATAATTATGCAATAAATGAATGATACCTGAGACAATTCTCTTCTTGGTCATGTTGTCATGCTATTTATCCAGATGGCCATGGATTGGTTACATTTATTTTGGAGTGAGTTACTCCTTA